CTTATTTGAAAGTTTATTATGACGATTTTTATATTACATAAATATTATTAGATCAATTTAATTAGCAGGCATTTTATTTATTATATTAAAGTGTATTACATTTATACATAAAATTTCATGATAATGGTATACTGAATTGTAGTTATTCTAGCTAATTAATTATTAAATATAGAAAAATATATTTGTAAAAATATTAGTGTCTAAAATTATCTTATTTAATGGGTAATCCATATAGTTATACATGTGAAAATTATATAAAATTACAAGTAAATGTTTATAATCCTGATAAAATAGATACTAGTACTGTAGTGTACTAGTGCACTATTAGTGTATGAGACTCGTACATTATGTTGAAATTCTGTTATGGTTAATTAAGTATTCTTACGCATTATCTAGATGTTAATTCCGTATATATATCGTAAGCTGTTTTTGGAATTTTGTATAAAATATATTTATTACAAATAACGAGTTACAATTATTTAATTTTGTATTTTTTTAGTTTTTTGTGCAATATACTAAAAATTAAATAATGTATATTAAAAGTTTAATTTTGATTCATTTCCAAATTCTGTTATGTATTAAATGTAATGTAATTTTAAGTAATAATAAAATCAGTATTTCATTGAGAAATTGCGGCGAAAATAATGTCTGCAAACAATCAAATGAGAGATGCGTTGACTTTCAATGTGTTTGCAAAACAAACTATAGATTCAATAAATTGACGCAAAATTGTGAACAATTTGTCTGTAAATCAGACGACGAGTGCGTGAATGGAGGCAACGATGGGAACAGATATTGTGATACAAGTGATGGTCACTGTCTTTGTCGTAATGGATACCAAGCAGACCACAAAAACGGTGGTAAATGTGTACCAAAACTAGACTTTACAACAAAATCCCCTGAAGATGGTGATGAATATGACTACTATGATGATTATTCTGACTATAATTATTTGAACTGGGTTACTATTGCATTTATTTTAGCTTTATTGTCAATTATAACTGTTCTTGTATATGTTGTTATTAAATTAAGATTTATAAGTTTTGTTGTTACTAATAATGTTAATAATAACGTTATTAAATGCTAAATGTAAACTATACTGTATAATAATAATAGTCTTTATTCAGAACACGTTGAATAGTACATAAAATCAGTAAAAAATGTTAAATAGTTGTATAAAATTACATATTTGTCAAATAAAAAGTTTTACATTTTTTAAGAAAAACATTAAAATTTTCTTCATTTCGTATATCTGGGGGTAAATTATTGAATACATTAAATGAATGAATAAATAAGTTATTATCACAAAAATAATTCCGAGTGTGCGGTTTGATTAGTATTTTACCATTTCTTACATTATCCGATAATTTATACATTGATATCCAGTTATTAGGCATACATTCGTAATCATATATACATTTAAAAACTATCTTAAGAGTGTTTAGTTTCCTTCTCATAATCAGTGAATCAGTATTCAGTACTTTTAGTCTTTCAGAATAATTCAGATCATTATTAAAACTCTTAAAACAGATATATTTTGTAATTTTGCGCTGAATTCGCTCTAATTTGTCATTTTGTGTAACATTCAGAACAAAAGAGGTGTTGCAGTACTCTAGTAGCGGCAGAATATATGTGTTATATAGTCTCAATAATGTATTACTGTCCGCATAACAGCACAACCTCTTAAGAAATGCCCACTTTCTGAGCTGAGTATATACTGTAATAAAAATTAAATATTGTTAAAGCTTAATTATGAACAAAATATATTTTACTTAATTGGCACACAAAGACTCCAAACTTATAAAAATGAATATTATTTATTTTAATATTTTATTATTATAAATAATTGCAATTGTAATATTTTATAAATGTTTATTAATAAGTATTTTGCATTCATTTTTAATAAATTATTGATTGAATAATGTATCATTAGCATCAAGATTAAACTACAAATATCATAAATCAAACTCCAACTACAATACTCATCCATATTAACTTAATTTATCTTAATATATTTATATAATCATGTGTATTTGAATTGCATTCTGGTTAATTTTCAGTTGACTTAACATTTAGCGTCAGATTCTTATTTACCTGGATAATTTTTCCATAAGATAATTCTATTAATTGAAATAAACCAGTGATTGTACTTTAAGAAACCTAGTCGGTTTTGTTTTAGCAAATGTTATCGAATTTACAATAAAGTCACAATTTATGTTCACATGTTAATACTTTGATTGATAAACGCTAATAAAAGTTAATACAAATGTTATATAAATTAATTTAGAAACTATGGGAAAGTTGTGATGTGTTTAGCCAAAAATATGCTATCTATTTTACCATTTTGTTTGAAATAATAATTGATTAAAATGTTAATTGTTTATTATAATTTTGGCAATTGGTCTGAACCATAATGTTATAATATAAAACATTTTGAAAGATTTTAATTGTTGATTTTAGGGAAGTTACAGTTTATATGTAGTTTTGTTTTTAAATATAGTTTATATGTAGTTTTAGCCTTAAGTTTATAATTCCTCCTATTGTTTAGATATATAAAAATAATTTAGTGATTTTTTGTAAACATTATAAATATTTAACATGGTATATAAATTGTTTAATACTATTTGATCAACTTTTCTGTTTATTTGTCTGATCATGATATTTAACAATATTTTATAATTTGATAAATCTGTAAATGATCACAACTAGGAGTCTAATGACTAGAATTAACACTATGTTAATTCATTTAATATTTTTTGCAAACATATCATTTTTTATTTATAAATTTTAATTAAATAAGCACAAGTAAAAATTCATTTAAATAAATGTAATATTTATTACAATATAATTAATAATTATTAATTATTTAATATAAAAATACGTTATAAATAATAAAATTAATATTAAACTAGAATAATTAAACATTGATTTAATAATTGTAATTTATTGCACTTCATTTTTAATACAATGACATTTAATACAAAAATTAATTATTTTTGAATGATTACAAACTAACCTAAAAAATGCAATTATAATAACAAGAAGGCAAACCCCGACGGCAACGCTCACCCATATTATATTAATATGTTCTTGTTTAATCGAGTTTGATCCTTGGTCATTTTCTGTTGGCTTAACGGTATTCAACTTTAGATTTTCTTTAAACTTGGTGAATGTCCCAGATGATAATGATATTGGTTGACATAAACCGGTGACTATATCGCAATAAATTAGGGAACCGTCAGTCGTGTTTTGGCACTCGTTGTTTAATTTACAGTAAAATTGTTCACATTTTTTGGTCACAAAATTGTAGGCATAGTTTGATTGACAAATACATTGCGATTTAATACAAATCTGATGTAAATCCATACATGAATTATGAAAATCGCATTTTTGGTCAAAAAGTGCTAGATGCTTTTCCTGTTCACCAGAAATAGTAATTGATTTTGAATGAATGCCTACAATAGTGTTGACAATCAATAAGGTTATATATATTTTCAGTTACTGTTGTTTCTGTGCTAATAATGTTTGAAATGACATCTATTTTTGTACATTTGCCACCATTTGTGTGGTCCTCTTGGTATCCATTACGACAAAGACAGTGACCATCACTTGTATCACAATATCTGTTCCCATCGTAGCCTCCATTCACGCACCCGTCGTCTGATTTACAGACAAATTGTTCACAAATTTGTGTCAATTTATTAAATCTATGGTTTGTTTCGCAAACACAGTGAAAGTCAACGCATCTCTGGTTTGTGTAAATGCAATGCAAATCATGTGAACAATAATTATTTGTGGATTTTATAACTCGACTATCAATGAACACAATGATTGACAGAATTATTATAAACGCAATCATTATTTTTAAATATATTTTATTTAAGTTTTTTAAATAATTTTATAAATTATTTAATTAAGTTATATGAAGCAAGTGAACAAACCCTGTTGTTTATATATCAAGCAAACCTAAAAGCAGTGATTTTCCAAGAGTGTACATGTTTGAAATCACCATCTGAAAACATAATACCTATCATTTAATCCCATACAATATACATCAACGTTTCCGATGAAATATCCCCGATAATTAGTTTACATTATGTAATTCCACTGATTATATTACCTGTGATATTATGCAATAATTATATTAACATGTAGTGTTAACTCGTTAGTAATAATTGCTAACAGAATAATTTATACACTAAATAACAAGCTACATGAGTTTTATTAATATTTTGAATCAAGTAAACGGTTACACATTGGACTATTGAACGTGTAATTCATGGTATTTAATCCCATTATACTTTTATGTAATACTTTCTAAGAAATTTTTAAAGTCAATAATCTAATGATAATATTTTTGTGGTATTATACATTAATAAAATTATATAGAAATTGACTTTTCCAATAATTATGCAATTATTGATTTATAAACTATGTAAGCTGTGGTATTTTAGCAGATTTAAAGTTAGTTGTGATAACAAATATTTTATTTAATTAATTTGATGTTCATATTTAAAATGATAAATATGTCTTTAGATAAAACAAAATTTTTGTGTTAAATTAAAGTCTAAAAACTATTTAATATATTTTATTTATACTACATATTTTTTCATAAAATATATTATGTATAATTTATTTTACTTATTACGTTTTCAAAATATGACAATCATTTAAATATGTAATATATAATTATTACTAAATTAATATTATTTCACCTACATCTATAAAAGCTTTTTCTAATATAAAATCAATATCTTAAAACACTAACTCGTAACCGATTATTAGACTATTAATATCCTTAATGTGTTATTAATTATGAATTCAACCGACAGGTTGAAGCAACTATAATTAAAAATATTATCAACTTCATTATACAGTGCATTGAAATTTAATTTATTAATAAAAGCATAGTTAATAAACATTACATTTAGTAATTTTAATCAGAATTACTTGCAAATATAAATATTAATTACACTAATATATAAAAAATAAAACCAACATCAAATAATTGTGTGGATTTGTTGAACCACATTAGTTGACACAATACGGCCCGTGGACTCCATAAGGGTAGCGGCGGACTCGCTATCATAGGCTATGCTAAGGCCCATACTGTGCAGTCTCTCCTCATATTTAGCGTCAAACATCTGACTCTGGGCTGCGGTAAATGTGTCCCTCCAGGTGCCAATCTGGCCCTTTCGCATAAACCGGGACTCTTTCATATCAAACAGACCCCTGAGGGTAAAATTCTCGCGATTCACCATCTTGTTGTCCTTCATGGACTCAAACGAGCAATGGTTGGCAATCCTATCGATGGTCTCGTCGGTGAGTCGACGGCCCATAAAGTTGGCCATCAGTGCAATCATTTTGGGTAAGTCTGTGTTGAGCTCCTCGTAGGATATGAACAGCACTTGTAAGGGGTTTTGCTGGTGTAAACGCCAAAAGCCCTCCACGTGTTGCAGCCAATCACCGTAGACCAGGTGCCCGCCGACAAACAACTTGCTGAACGTGTCCCACGAGCCGCTGTAGTTGCCCAGAAACGAGCTCATCCGGTGATGATGGTAGAATGAGACGGCAGTGTCTTTTGGGTTGCGAACCACGTAAATGACCTTAAACCAATTAAATTAAAATTACAGTTAAGTGTGTTTAATATAAAATTGCATATATTACAAACAAAACTGTTAGTGAAGTTACTTTACATACGCATACAATACATGCAGTACATGTATTATACTGTACTATTATTGTGATACAGTATGTCTTAAAATATAATCTCTAGTAAAATTTTTTATTACAAAAATTAATTAATAGAACAAAAATATAACTAAATTAAAAATGTAATTAAAACATACTTTGGCTTTCAATTGCTTCAACTGATTGGGTATATGAGTGGCGGGCAAATGAGTGGCAATCAGACGCCTACCCTTCTTGGCTTTTAGCCACCGGTTATGGCCCACCGGTAGGCCGACCTCCAAGTGCTTCACCCGTTTGGGCAACAGTTTGTCCTTCACTTTGTCAATATCGCCGCCGTTATGAATGAGTGACAGTATCTCTTCGGTCCAAGTGGTGCCCGACTTGGGATACGTGGCCAGCCATATGTCGTCCCTCCGCACCTCAAACTTGTTGATTTTGTTCAGGAATTGCGGGAATATTAGGTATCCCTGCAGTAGTATGTGGTCTAAGCGCAAGGCGTTGGGTATGCTCCGGACATACTGGGCCAGCTCCGGGTCATCGTCCAGGTTGGGCTCGTCGGCGGCTACGTTGATGTTGGCCACACGCCTGTTGGTTAGTTTGCGCATGTACTTTGTCTCGCGTACGTCCCAGATGCATTTCAACGCAAACATCGTTGTAATTGGGCTAATATTTTAGTATTTGTTTAATTAATCTAGACAAATTTATTAAATATTACACTACCCCGCTTATAAAAGTTAACAATTTAGTTAACAAAGCGTCTATTATATGCTAAACAAAATGATATTTAAAAAGTACTGTATGTTATTGACAATAATATGCAAGTAATTTCTAGGCTCTGTGGAAACTTGCTTTTATAAGTTTTGAGCATACATAGAACAACTTTGTTAACTAGTCATTTTTAGAAATGTACCAATACAGAATTTTGTTTGGTAATCATATGCCGAGACATATATTAAAAAGTTAATTTTTTTATTTAAATTAATAGTCATTGTTTTCTTAGTATACATAATCATAAATGAATTTTTACAAATGGTTATACAATTCAATATTCTATTAAATCTATGTAAAATTGTGTAAATCCTATTAAATAAGCTAAGTCAGTTTAGATGTAATGATATAATGATTAAAAACTAAAATAAGTAAGTAAATTATATACATAATAAAGTAGTGAATTTTTTAGTTAATTATTTTATACATTAGTAATGTAACATTACTTATTGAAACTTGTTTGCTAATCACGTGTATATTTAATGTTATGCTTTAATATTTATGTTTGCTTTTAAATGATTTTGATAAATAGCTAAATGATTGAATCGTGTTGTTATAAAAATATAAATAAAAGTTGCATAACGAATACTTTTTTTTGTATAATATTATAAAATTTATAATAATTTTCAAACATCATTGTTAAAGATATCTATTAAATATAATAATATAATGTATTGTCTGTTATAAAAGTACCGGTATACCAAAAACACAAGAAACATACTTAACACAGTAATTATTAATTATCATTATAAAAATTATCAACAATGCTGTAATGTTGAGTCAAATTAATATGATCATTAAAAAAATAATTTTTCATAAATTTCAAAAATATCTCATTTATTATATTAAACTAAAACCATTTAAAATAATAATTACATTTTAAAAATACTATTAAATTCCAGCATTCAGTATAAAATACATATTAAATCAAATAACAATCTGATTATTTTGACAATAAATTATATACAACTATAATAAAAATCACATATAAATATATAAAACTATATTAAATATATACATACAAAATAAACTATCCCAGCCTTAAAGTCACAAATTACTTTGATCTACGCTATCATAAATAATTCTACCATAAGGTTGCATACGAGTCACGGCATCATCGCTATCGTAGCACAAGTTAATACCCAACTCCCGGAGCCGATTGCTATACACCTTATCAAACAAATCGCTTTGTGCATCACTAAAATGATTGCGCCAGTCGCCAATAATGCCCTTGCGCATAAACTTGGACTGGGTCATGTCGAAAAGGCCCTTGATGGGCAATTTCTCGCGATTGACCATCTTGTTATCTTTCATCTCAGCGAACGAGCAATGGTTAGATATTTTCTGTATTATCTCATCCGTGAGATTATTGCCCACAAAGCGGGCGATGAGTGCAATCATTTTGGGTAAATCAGTTTTGAGCTCTTCGTACGATATGAATAGCACTTGGTTGGGATTTTGCTGGTGTAGCCGCCAGTAGCCCTCCACGTGCTGAAGCCAGTCACCGTGCGCTAAGTGACCATGGGCGAATAGCTCCACAAATGTGTCCCACGACCCAGTGTAATTGCCCAGAAATTTGCTCATACGATGATGGTGGTAATACGAGACGGCAGTGTCTTTAGGGTTACGGACCACGTAAATGATCTAATTTGAATTTAAAAATAAAAATTTAATTAGTTGATTTAATTTTATTAGATTTTTGTTATGTTCAGTACTTTTCTAACTATAATCATAAATTGTATATAATATACTGATATACAGTATATTTTATACATAGATTATACTCTAATTTATAACCATTATACTCTATAAAACTTTTATGGTAGAATTGTTTTGTATTTATGGATATTATTAGTGTATTAGTTCATACAGTTTCTGACATATACTGTATATTAAATTGACAAACATGTTATTAACGAATGTAAGAATCTTAAATATAAAAATATACACCTCTTTATTAATTATATTTATCAAAATACTTAAAAATTATTATTATTATTATTAAAAATCACACTTAAGTTAAATGAATACTACATTGATAGCTTAAACAATTGTTCTAGTATAAGAACATTTTTAGACTAGAATGTTTTATAGTGTTACTAAAATCAATATAAAGTTGTTGAATTTACGATATGTTATAAATTATTATGATTTTGTTCTCAACGATATACTTAATTGTCAAAAACTTTTCTACTGTATATAAGATAAATATTAATAATTTTATTAATTCAATATCTATATTAATAAAATTTATTTTTTCAAAAATGGTAAAATATAATTTAATTTATATTTAAAATTTCTTATATTAAGAATTTACCTAGGTAACTTAGCAAATATGAGTGCAATACTTGTTATGTTCAAATGCAATGCACAGAGATAATCCATATATCAGTAAATAAACATTCAAAACAATAAGATAATTATTGTTAGAGAGAGAGAATT